TAGCTACTAGACCAGACTGAGGAACAACCAGTGTCAGTACAAGGCAACTTCTATGCTAGTTCTGTTCTTCTCTGAGCAGGAAGAAGGAAATCTAAGCCAACATGTTTAATCACAGCTAGTTTCTAATTAAAAGTAGATTGACAGAGGCAGTGGAGTTCTCCAGGGTGGGTGTTGCTTGCCCCCTTCCACCAGGTGTCATCGCCTTGACTTAAGCTGAAATCACCCTTATGTCACAAAGGTAAATGGGCTAACCAACAATGAACTGGTCTGAACTGGAAATTGCCCCAGCCAGGCTAGGAATGTCCAGGAGCCCTCCAGAAAGGCTGCGGATGCTCCAGCAGACAGAAGTGAGCTTGGGGTGGTGGGGCCGGGGTGGTGGGGAGGGGGCTGGCTCCTTCCAGACGTGCTGCAGCGCATTTCCTGGCATCTTCACCCACCACTGGCCAAAGCCTGGTCCATTGCACCTGGAAGAGGTTGCCAGTGGGGGACGCTGCTGCAGCAATGGAGTGGGAATGCTCTGCTCCCCAAGAGTTGACATCTCAGCCCACATCTTTCCTAAGTTATGGAATGCACTCCCCAGAGAGGTCCGCCTGGCGCCGTCGTTATTTGTTTTTCGGCGCCAGGCTAAGACCTTTTTATTTAAGCAACATTTTAAATGCTAAATACAATTGAATTTTATCTGGCCAGGGCGGCTTATTTTATAATGTGAGTTTTAATCAAGATTATTTTATATGGATTTTAACTTGTTTTATCTATGTTGTAAGCCGCCCCGAGGCTTCGGCGAATGGGGCGGCATAAAAATGTTTTAATAAATAAATAAATAAATAAATAAATAATAAGGGGGAAGGGGCATAAGGATGCCTCTCTTCCTGCAGCTGCAAGCGACACAGGTTGCTGGGTTGCCAGCAGCGGCAAAATGGGGACAGTGCTGAGCTGGACTCTGGGGCAGGGGGCGCGGGAGGGCTGTGAAAGAGTACTGCCTGGGCTGGAGGCCTGAGACACTGCAGGGAGCAGGGCCGGGTGAGGTTGCAAATGCATTTTCCTGCCTTCAGTGTCCTGTCTGTCGAGGGTGCCGGGCCACCTCCAGATGGTTCCCAGGAGCAAGAATGCTGGAGAAATCAAACACGGATTCAAATAACTTCAGAGCCCTATAAATTCAACGCATGGATCCTGTAGCCAAGGCTGAGCCACACAGATTGCATGGGCTTGCAGGCCATTTTTTTTAACTTTCCAGAATTGTGCCCAAATTTAATTATACAAAAATACAAGTTGCTGGGAAATGCACAAACACACACACCTTTTTGCAAAACACGCACCATATTTTATACATCTCTCATGCCCTCGCAGCTGCCACTGTGTAGCACCCTTTCTTTTTGTGTTCATCAACTGCATACCAAGCTAAGAGAAATATGCAAAACTTTACATGCTTGCAAAAGTTTTGTCCATCGCAGCTGATGTTTTATGGAGGGGGAAAATAATCCAATTCCCTCAGTAAGCGGAGCGTGGAACAAAAGACACCTGACAGGCTGTGAAACAGGCAGAATAGATTAAGCATAATTCTGATACCCCTGGGAGGAGTTGTCATTGCTCCCCAGGAGTAAAGGGCAGGATATGGACGGCCATCAGTGCCAAGCCTGCTTCTTCCCATGGGGCCTGCATTGCAGGCACCAGTGAACCCAGTGGAGGCCGCTCAGATCGGCATAGCCCAGTCCATCTACCTGGCTCCCTGCAGCTCCAGGTCTGGTTTCTTGCAAAGAAGTCAGGGCGTGGGTGAGAGGTCAGGGAGGCTGGCAAAGACTGAGCTTATAGGGAACTGGCTGGAAGAAATGCAAGTATTACAGGCACTTTGACACTGGGGGTGCTGCAGCCAGTGTTTGCCTAGAAATTTGACATAAATCTGTGAAGCTCAGGCGTGGCACAATTCTTGCTGCTGCCCCCAAGCCTTTTTGTCTGTCCACCCCCTCCCAGCAGCACACGCCTGCCTCTTCCTTGGGCTCTGCTTCAGGCTTTCTTCCAGCTCCCTTGCAGCTATCTTTTCCTCCAGCATCCGTTGTTCCTTCAGGTCCAGCTTTGTAACCAGCTTGGTAAACACTTCTGCAACAAGCCTGTCTCTGGTGCTGCTTTTCCGCCCGCTGCAGGTCCTTTCCTGGCCAGCCCTCCTGTCTATCCCCTTCCTCCTGGGATGGGGTGACTTGGTGCCCCTCACCAGCAGGGGGTGGACTTGATGGCCTTAATGGCCCCTTCCCACTCTCCTGTTCTATGATCCTTCTCCATGCCTCCCTCTCTGCTTGGCCTGGTGTCTTGTTTCCACCTCTGGAAGCCGCTCTGTTATCAACGTTCTTTTGCTGAGTGGTAAGAGTATTTGTGAGCATCCCGAGACACCCCAGCAGCTCACCAGAGAGAGCAGAGGCTCCCCAGTGATGAAGCACAGCCTGCCTCACGAATGCTTGCATGTGCAGGCATCAAACCTCCTGAAGGAGGTTCACTCACCACGAGGCTGAGCAATTTAGCATGGCTGTGCAGTGGCGCTCACTCTTTTAGCCGGAGAGACTCAAGAGCTACAGCTGTCCACAATCCCCAAGGGTCCCACTGGGGGTGGGGGGGGGGCTCCAGCCGCTCCACCTCACTTCCCGGCTCCATGCCCATTTTCATGCTTGAGGAGCAGAGGAGCTCTGAAGAGGATGCTGACATTTTTATTTGGTGCCTGGTTTTATTAACCTCTCCAGCAAACAATGCAGCCCATGCAGCAGGGGCAAGGGCCATGGCAGCGCCAGGATGCCAGGAGGCTCCGCTCTTCCTTGCCAGCACGCCTTCCGTGGCGGTGTGGGGGGCCCAAGCCCAAAAGGTGGCCACGGAAGGTTGTGCCGCCCCCAGAACTGTTCCGCGTGACTGATGGAAGCTTCTCTTTGCTCGTTTTTACTTCTCCCTCTTTTTTCCTTTCATCTTCCTTGGGGTTTTAGGGAACAACAAAAAGAAATGAAACCAAAACGCAAAACCAGCCTCATGACAGACAGTTGGGCAAACTCCTTGGCCGAGGCTTAAGGGAGCACTCGGCTACGTCCACCAAGGCCTGGGGCTGAACGATCCTCTATTTCACCCACTCGTTTCCAGTTGTTCTCTTGCTTTGGACAATAAAGGGAATGCCCTGTGTTGGTGGGATGCATGTGGAGTAGCCTTTTCCAGCTAGTAGTTTTGAGAGTTGAATGAACCATTTATTGTAGCCAATAAGAACTTTGATACAGAAACCCAATACACAAAGTTAAGAAGTTCTAGGAGGAACAACTGGGTTTTTAAAGGGGAGCCAACATAATTTTTCCTTCATTTGCTTTGAAGTTTTTTTTTTTTAAATGGTAACCCTCTCAGTAACATGGGATGTGTCATCCTTCAGTAGAATAAGGCCAGTCCTCAAATGTTTGTCCCAGGTGAGTTCTTGGTAAAAGGAAAATCCACCTCTTCCTGCAGCCTCTGTGCAAACTGAAATGCAGGAGTCAGTGGACTTGCTTACTTCATTTCCACACATACACAGATGTTTGATCATCAAGATTTATTGAGCAGACCATTTAACATGCAGAGGGAAGTGCACGGACATAAATGGTCCCCTGTCTTTGGAAACTGTTTGTGTATGGAGATACAAATCCCTAACTATTCCGTATTTAGAAAGATTACTTAAAAACAATGGGGAGCAGGATTTCTCCCCGTCCTTTCCTAAATGATGGAAAGTTTGCTCTTGTATGGGTTGTGCCGGGTTAGCCCTAACCCAAGCCCCCCAGCAGAGAACCCTGCCTAAGGATGCCCTTCTGCATGTACCTCATCCGCCAGCTGACAGAACAACTGGAAAGCAATAAATGAGTGCAGCTATCAGAAGCTGCAGAAAAGGGCAGAAGGCTTCTTGGCCATTGGCTGAGATCAAGTGTCATGTTTCCTGTTGCACAGCTGGCGAGCAACAGAGTCACGCAGGTCCCCAGTGCAGCCATAATCTCTGCTGTGAACTCACCAGGGATGCTTTCAGATGAGGTTTGTAATTTGCAAGCAGAGCAAGTCAGAAGGGGCCTCCTGGGCCATCTAGGCTTACCCGCGGCTCTTGCCAGCTCTGCTCATGACATGCCTAGCGTTTTGCAGAACATGCGCTTCCATGAGCCACCCTCATGCGCTTTCCCACCTCTTTTTCCATCTTCTCTCTTCCCAGGAGGGGGAAAAGTGTGCAGTTACTTGTAGAAGCAGGAGCTGACTCTCAGTCAGGGGTGGACAGACGCTGGGCCTATGGGTGCCTTGGCAGCTTGGCAGGCAGTCCTGGGCTGAGGAGAGTGTCTGCCAGCCACAGCCTGCCCCCAGCTCTCCAGTGATCCCAGATGCCGGGCAGAAGTTCTGCTACTCAGCAGATGCATGCACAGGGAGGAGACAGGGCAGGGCAGCTGAACACGTGGCAAGAAAAGTGTCTGAGCCTAGAAGCCACCTTTCGTCACAAACACAGAATCGGTGGGAAGTGCTTTAGACAGTCGAAAATGGAGCGTTGATGGCCAGCAGATGACTACAGGGGCCACAATCCTTAACTCGCTTTGTAGAAATCCCATGGAACATTTGGGGCTTACTTCTGAGGAATGTGCTTTCAAAGCAGTGGTTGTAATTTTCATCTGAATGTTTTACTGGGTCCCATTAAACTTCAGTATGATTTTATATAGTCTCTTTTCCCCGCACAACCACCTGTAATGAGGTTAGACTGAGGCAGAGTAACTTGACCAAGGCCCAACCTGCCAAAATTTGTGTCTGAGTAGCCTTTGAGCCTGGTTCTGCCTGTACCCTCCATCCCAGCCTGTCTTGATTGGATTGCAGCCCCTCTTGAGTGCTTAGGAGAGGCAGTGTGACCCAGATAACTTTCCACCAGCCTGTTCTAAAAGATAACAAGCTTCTTTATCCAGATAATTAACACATGTGTTATTCCTTTTCTGAATTTGTGTTTGTGTTCTACTTTGGTTTCATCCTGATTCTTTTTTCCCTTTTAGGTGGATCCGCGGAGAGCACTTCAGGTACAAATTTAGCAGACCCGGAGGGACACATGCCAAAGATGGGAAGTGGTGGATTAGGAAGAGGATTGGGCCATATTTCCCACCAGTCAATCTTGAGGGCCTGAGGAAGTTTTTTGAGGCTCGACGGTGGCCCCACCCAGCGCTGAACTGACAAGTGGAAGGGGACCGCCTCACCTTTGGCGGTCCTTTCCAAGCCTCTTTAATTTTCAGCAGTTTACAATAAAGTACATGAGACGACATAAACATCTGAACTTCTATACGTTCTATTTTGGAAGTTGGCTTCTGTGTAATACAAATGGTAGGCACGTCCATTTCTGCATTTATATCCCACTTGATTAGCCCTGGAGTAGACATTCAAAAGGAGCCCATGAAGTGGATACTCATACGCTTGCTGGCATTGTGGAACGCCTGCACATTGGATTCAGTTTCAGCAGAACTTGCAGAATTCCAGTGGCGGATGGGGCAAAAGGCAGCATGGCCAGGACAGAAAGACCAAAAGCTCCGCCCACTTTTGCTTAAAGAACATGCTGCCAGTAAGCAAGCATTGTTGCTAGTCGTCACGTCCAACCCATTGCGACCCCCTGGACAACACTCCTCCAGGCCTTCCTGTCCTCCACCGTCCCCCAGAGTCCACTTAAGCTCATGCCAACTGCTTCAGGGACTCCATCCAGCCACCTCCTCCTCTGCCGCCCCCTCCTTCTTTAGTAAGCACTGGGGAAGAGGCATTTCAAGACATTTCAGCCCCTCCTGAATGGGAGGAGGACGGCCCCAAATCCAAGACACCAAGTGATAGAGGGCAGGGAGCTGGGGAAGGGGGCTTAGGATCACGGAGTACATGCAGTGTGCACAAAACAAGTTACCACTATTCACGTCACAGGAGTCTTATTGTAACGTGCCACAAGATGCATTTTTGGTACATACTGTATTTTTCCGTCTATATGATGCCCCAATGTATAGGATGCCCCCCACTTTTCTTACTGATCTCCAAGAAAGTGCGCAAGCCTCCCCCCCCGAGCGCGCCTGCGATCACGCCCGCCTCCCCCCGCCACCCCGAGTGTGCCCGCAACAGATTCTCCCCCCAGTGCATCTGCGGTTCTCTCAGCCCCCCATGGAGACGCCCCTCCATTTTTAGGTAAGTATTTTAAAGAAACAGTATTGTCTTATACACAGAAAAATACAGTACCTTATTTTTAGGCTTATCTTGGAAAGCTAAATGGGGCAGCTTTTTGAGGATTTCCCTTATTTTGAAAGGTACTATATGAGGCGAAAGCAATTTCAAGAAGTTTTGTGTGTGTGCATACACACACACACACACACAGTCACCCAATTGCAGATGTTTTTAGTTGATTAATTACTGGCATTTTAACTAATTATGTTCAAATATAATTGCATATTGTCAAAACCTGAGAGCAGGCACCTTGTCTGAGAAACTACATGAAGTCACTTTTCTACTAATAAAGCAGCCAAACTAGATTCTTAGCACAGAAGGCCATTCATATCTGTCTGTTTCACCCCTACTGGGAAAAGAATGCTTCAAAATAGTTATACATGAGTGTGACCCATGCTGTTTGGCACTCACTTCGTATTTTCAATATTTAGAAAATAATAAAGCAGACTTTATTCCAGTTGTAGGCAATTAGCAAGTCTGGCGGACAGGCAGAAGAACTGGTAGCAGGGGGCTTCCAGGTGAGGATTGGGGGGCACCTGGCCACATTCGCGGGTTTTGCGGGGGGGCTTCTCCCCCGCCCTCCTCCTGTGCTTTCCCCCGCTTCTTCCATCGCCTTTGCACGCGGAGAGGCCGCGAAGGGCGGCCGTCGCTGCGGCGGGGGGCGCCAGCCGCGGCCCCCGGTGCGTGGCGGGCGCGGGAAGAGCCCGGCGAGCTTCCCGTCCCGCGCCTGCTCTTGCCTGGCGGCTGCCAGCCGCCTTGCGGGGGCCTCTTGGCCAGGGCGCCGCGCGTGCTCGGGGGAAGAGCCCGCGCCCCCCCGCACCCCCCCGCACGCACGCGAGCCCCGTGCCGCCGTGGGATCGCCCCGCCAGGCGGAAGGCCCGGCTCTGCAAGGGCCAGCGAAGCCGTGGCGGGGCTCCCCCCGCCTCCGGCCTGCGCGAAACGGCGCGACGGACCACCGAAGGCGCGGTGCGGCTGAAGCAGCGGCTGCGGCTCTCGCAGGGACGAACCAGCGCACGAGCCACTCCCGCAGGGGTGGCCCCCGCCCCGCCCCGCCCCGCCCCGCCTGGACTAGCCGCCACCCCCGGTGCTGCGGAGCGAACGGATGCGGAGCGGTCCGTCTCCCGCGACACGCCGCGGCCTCGAGGCGTCACCGGAAGGAGCCACCGGCAGCCGCGCCGAGCTGCAGAGCAGGCTTCACGTGGCCATCCATTCCCACGGGATGCTGTGAGACGCTCGCAGGCGTTCCCACGCCAAGAACGAGACCTCGTCCTACTAGGCGTGAACACAGTTCTGGTGAAAAGGAAACAGTGCCCTGACCTTCAACCGGAGTCGAAGGTGGCATTTTCGGGATGGGAGACTTCCGTGTTGTGCATACATGATCCGGAGGCAACAGGCTGGGTCCCCCAGAAACCTTGGCTGTGAACCTGGTAGAGGCTTAAGGGGCGAAGGGATTGCCTGTGGTGCTCCTGATTTCTTCAAGGAATAGGTTCATCATAAGGCACTGAATGGTTCTGGCTTTGGAAAGGGCGACTTTTATTCTGCTTATGCATTTCTGGCACAAACAACCCCCAGACGGTGGAACACAGACACTTGGGCTTGGTGACAGGAGCTGAGGGAGTTATTTTGGTTTTGAGGAAATAACTGGTTTTGCACTCATTTCCTTGAAGCTCCGCCTGGAAATGTGGTATCCCCTTCTTGGAGGGACGTGTCTGGCTGGCCCTTCACACTCACAGCGCACAGGTGTTTCAGTGGCTTCGGCTCATATAGCGAGAGGTGGGCCTTCTTCAGATACTGCCTGCCTCTCTGGTCTCTGGTTCCCTTTAATAAGCCTCTTCCTTGACCAGTCCCCCAAAATGCATTGTGCAAGATGAGGAGAAGCCTTGAGATTTGCATTATTTCTGCAGCCTACGAGATCCTGTCGCTTTTCCTTTGGCACCTGGCGCCCGGGCAGGGGCGACACAGTCTGCTTGGAGAAAGGGATGCAGGGCTGGAGGAAGGACTCAAAGGGATGCAGGGCTGGGGGCACCGTGACCCCTGCAGGCTCTTGGAAGCACAGCCAGGCCAGCAGAGGCAGGGCCCTGCGAAGGGCACATGGACCAGCAGGGGCCCATGGAAGCCCTGCCCACCTTCCCCGCTGCCCTGCCCTGTTCCGCTCCCTGCCCTGTACTGGTGAGGAAGAGGAGCAGCGAGAGAGGGATTCGCTGCCCGGGCAAGCGGTGACAGTCCCCAGTAGGACGGTTTTAAAAGGGGCTCAGACGGATTCCTGAGGGAGGTGGCTCTCTGTGGCTCCCAGTCGTGCTGGCTCAGCGCTCCCTCCTTCCCCAGGGGAAGGCCTGTGGGCAGCTGGGTCGTCCCCACATGTGCAGAGTGCTGGACTGCATGGACCCTGGGTCTGGTCCCACAGGACTGTTCTTGTGTCCTTACGCCGGCCACCTCACTGGCTCTGCCAAACAAGCGAGTGAGACGGGGTCTCATTGAAGGAGGAACCCCAGGCCCAAGGACCTTGGCATACCTGCACAGCTGGTGCTGCAGGAAGCCCCAGGTGGAAGAGCCACTGCAGAAGCCCAAGTCCTGCTGGTGGAGCCAGTGACGCCCTCTAAGGCAGCATACGCAGAACTCAACTCCTTCAAACACAGTCCCCCCACCCCAACCTTTATGGTCCTGCTTGTGGAAGATTCCAAGTGGGCCACTCAGTGATTCTGGAATGATGGCGCAGAGGTGGGAAGGGCCTGCAGAAACCACAAGCCCCCCCCCCCATGCCTGCCCCATCGGGAGCTCTGACCCAGTGCCCTTCTCAAGACAGGATCTGGGGAACAAGCCACCTTGGCTCACGTTCCAACTTGGACCGGTGCTCTCCAACCAACGGACACAGTGCCGGCACCCAGCATTCATGAGCTCTTCACTGCTTGGGCTTTCTGAAGGCAGTCTCCTCTGTGGAGCAGCGGATAAAACGACCAGCCCCCGAATGTTCCCCTGGCCTTGGACGGGGGGGCAACAAGCTTGCCTGGCATGGCCGGCAAGCAAGGAGCAGAAACAAGGAATTAGCAGCAGATAATCTCATCATGAGTGTCTTGTAGCAGCTGGTAATGGTGTTTTGGTGTTTATCAAACAGCATGTGGTGCAAAGTTACCACACACACACACACACACACACACACACACACACACACACACACACACAGAGTTACTTGGGTAGAAACAAAGGAGAGCCAGCGTAGTGCTGTGGTTAAAGTGTTGGACTGAAGATCCACGTTCTAGTCACCACTCAGCCATGCGCCTTTGGAGCCATGGACTTTGGGCCCATTGCTGACCCTCCGCCTCATCCACTTCACAGGGTTCTGCTGAAGATAAGTTTGAGAGGAGGAGGAGGGTTATGCAAGTCACTTTGAGTTCTTTGAAGGAAGAAAGGTGGGTTCTAAATAAAATCAATGAATTATATAAATAAATTTAGTGGATCTGTCAGAAATTCATAGAGTGATTTAATTTAATGCCAGAATATGACCAGCCCAATGTACCATAAGTATTGCAAGTTAGATTTTATCTGGTCAGAATATAAGAACCCAAGTGCTTGGCCAAGGTTATGGGCTGGATGAGGGCCAATAAACTGAAGCTCAATCCAGACAAGACGGAGGTCCTGTTGGTTGGCGGATCAGGCTTCGGAGAGGGTGGATTTGACCTGGCCCTGAATGGGGTTGCACTCCCTCTTAGGGACAAGGTCCGTAGCTTGGGAGTGCTCCTCGACCCGGAGCTGTCGTTGGAAGCTCAGGGGACAGCGGTGGCGAGGAGCGCTTTCCTTCAGCTTCGGCTGATTAATCAGCTGCGCCCCTACCTGGAGTACGACTGCCTGGCGACGGTGACACATGCGCTGGTGACTTCCCGCCTTGACTTCTGTAACGCGCTCTACGTGGGGCTACCCTTGAAGACGGTCTGGATACTTCAATTGGTTCAAAATAGAGCTGCCAGGCTGCTGACGGGGACGGGGCATTATGTTCACATGACTCCAGTCCTCCGACAGCTTCACTGGCTTCCCATTGAAGTCCGGGCCCAATTCAAGGTGTTGGT